ACATTCTATTAAATTAGGAATTGATAAATTAGTAATATTATCAATATTTTTATATATAAAATTATTTTTTACTATGCACGAACCCCCATGTCTATTTTTTCTAAAGAAACTAGATGCCATTTTATAGTTGGGTATGTGTAATTGAGTTTCATCACCTTTAATCATATTATGTTCGGTAATACACAATACGTCAATCTGTTTATTATGCTTGTTCATTTCATCTACACATATTGACAATAAATCCGATTTATTTGCAAGTCCATTTATATTTTGATGAAGTATATGTATATAGTTATGAATGAAATAAATTATTAGAAAAAATATTTATATTATCGTTTGAAGTGCTGTCATCAATATTTTCAGTTACATCATTATTACTGTTAAAAATAATGTCCTCTTTTTTCTTTAAACAGTTCCCAATCAGTTTGTGTACTATTGTATATAAGATTTTTTTTATTGCTTACACTATTACTTTGTTTAACTTTACTATATTGTTTTATTTTATGTAAATAATCTATTCTTAACAGATCTCTAAGTATTAGTCTACATATATAAAGTACTGAAAAAAGATGAATTTCGCAGTTTATTCCAATTATAGTTGATGTCTAAAAGGCTTACATGATTATGTTTACAAATAAATTTTATTTCATGGTTTAGTTTAGTTACATTCAGGTTTTCGGTTAAATGGAATTTTGCAAACTATTATATTAGTGTTAGAGAGATCCGACAACCATCTATGCAAATTATATTGTAGTCCATACGGATCATTATCATTAATGCTACATAACAATACAATAAAATCATTCTTGTTTAAAGATTTCAATTCATTGGTTACATTTTAGGATATCATTATACTTTGCATGGGTTTCTATGTACATGAAACTGTATTCAACTCCAACAAGTTTTTGTAGATTTTTGCATATTGCGGCCTTGTTGGTCTGCCAAATCTATGATTTTCTTTTTTAAGTATTCTTTCTATTGCTCGGGTGTCTTCTGAATGTTGAATGTTAATTATTGGTATTGTTTTAGATGATTGTTCACATGTATTTATAGTTTCTACCTTCAGAGTTCAGAGAAGGCTTGTTGCTAGGTTTGCATGACAGTTGTTTATTACATGTGTATACTGGTGTGACTGTATCTGTATTATTTGAATTTCTCTTTTTTTTCATCGACGTCGGTGTATTACTTTTACTCTTATCTGTTAAACTAAGTCGTTTATAAACATTAATAACCTTATTACATCTCTCTAGTTCATGTCTTAAAGTTGTATTTTCAGAATTCAAATTTTCTATCTCTTGATTTGCCGTTTGTACTTCCATCTGAAATTTATTAATTTTTTTCAATAGTTCTTTTGTGCTATGACTGTCATCCATAGAAGAATTAGGTAGACTCAACATCATTATCTAATAGTGTTGAGTTACTATGTCCCAAATATTCCTTATTACGTCGACTTCCCCGTGGTCCCTCCAAACCATAGTGCTGAATTCCGGGTGTATTCATCACGATAGGCTAACTGACCTGTCTTTTTATTCTTAACTATCATCCCTCACTGGTACTTCGTCAGCGAATACCGTTAGCGAACGCGGGTTACCATTCCATTATCATTAATTTAAAAAAAAGCAGCGTCCCTCTTCTGTTTGAGAATAACAGCGCCTGCATTTCCTTTTAAAGACGTAGGTTTATAACTGTTGGTATTATGCAGTTTTTTATGCATTTATATTATTACTAAGCATAAGGATATGTGAACGATTTTCCTGTATTACTTACTCAAAACTACAAATATCTGTGTATAGTTGTGAAATGTTAATTTACCTATTTCAATTTAAATTAGTCTTAGGAGAGATTTTGCATCACTCTGCTTGTTCTACCGCTTGTACCACGGATTGTGCTCAGAGGAAAAGTTTAATGTGATGCCCACAACCACTTTCTATCATCGTACGGCTCGCCATCGACAGGGAGTTCACTTTCATACCTTACAGCCTAAATGGTCGCGTACGACGCGGTTTCAGAGATATTTTCTCTTTTTAAATCTTGGCTCCCTGCCAAGATTTTACCAAGATACTACAGCACGGAGTTCTTCAAAAGGGGACTAAAGAGGTTTCTTCAGGGTCGGCAACGTGCGCGTAATACCCTTGGTATTGCAGGCGTTCATAGGCTACGGTAACTGCCTACTATCAGGTAGGTCGTATGCTTGTTTGCTACCTCTGTGGTATAAAAAAATATTGTTAAATTGCAGCAACTTACTAATATAATAAAATTGTAACAAGACGACGTCTGTACATGGGAGTTATTTAAGAAAATTTGACATGAAGGGTCTTAATAAGGTCAATAGAAACAAAAATAATATTTTTTAAAAACTTTATTTATCAACTAAACTGTATGTTTGTCTTAGTATTACGCAAAAACTACTGCACCAATTTGGATGCAGTTTTTACAGTTGCGTGCCTGAACGTTTAATTTAATATTAGTTATATGTTTTATTTTAATACACCATTTAGAAATTATTTCATTGGTTTTTCTATTTTCGAAATCCACTCATACCAACGAAGTGGTAAAAATAATTAAAAAAATTTGAATTTATTATTATAAATTTTTCAAGGTTACAAACTCTAAAAAAAAGAGAAATCTTAATGTTTACATCTACATATGAAAGAACAAGGATAAAATATATATGACGGATAAGGAAAGACCAAGGATAAACAGTCGTATAGAAGTATCAATGACATATCAGAAGTGGCCAACAAGTCCATATTTTCAACTGCTCATTTAGATGTTTCATATAAAATTTATTAATTTATAATTTAGTAAGATTTTCGAAAAATTAATTCTTCTACAAATGTTAGACCATTTCAATTTACGTGACTTACTCCACAAGCAACAATATGGATTTACAAAAGGACGATGCACTGTTGATGCCGGCATTAATTTAATGCAATGCATTTTCAGTGCATGGGAGAATTCACAAGATGTAATTGGTGTATTTTGTGATCTTTCTAAGGCATTCGATTGCGTGTCGATCATAAAACTCTATTAATGAAGCTTGAACATTATGGAGTTAGAAATAAGTCTTTAGATCTCTTAAAATCTTACTTAAATTCAAGAATTCAAATAGTAGAAGTAAACGGTGTCAATTCTAGTGGATCTTATATTGAAATGGGTGTGCCTCAGGGATCTATTTTGGGTCCTTTTCTTTTTCTTGTATACATGAATGACTTACCGTATCATGTTCAAGATTTGTCTGATATTGTATTATTTGCTGATGATACTTCACTAATGTTTAAAGTGAATAGAAATACACATAACCTTGACCATGTAAATGTTGCTTTGTCGAAGGTTTTGATATGGTTTACGTCAAATAATCTGGTACTTAATTCAAAAAAACCTAAATGTATCAGATTTTCCATATCCAATACTAAGCAAGTGAATACCGCTGTTAGATTAGACCACCAGGATTTAGACTTTGTAGATAAAACCACTTTTCTTGGCATAGTAGTTGATTATAAGTTGCAATGGGGCTCCCATATATTTGAATTGGCCAGCAGGCTGAGTTCAGCTGCTTATGCTGTTAGAAAAATCCGACAATTAACTGATACAATAACAGCTAAGCTTGTATATTTTAGTTACTTTCACAGTATCATGTCATATGGCATTATATTATGGGGGAGGGCTGCTGACATCGATACAATCTTTGTACTGCAAAAAAGAGCAGTTCGGTCAATATTTAATTTGCTTTCTCGGGAATCTCTTAGAGAATATTTTAAGCAAACAGGTATACTTACTGTTCCCTCGCAATATATATACGAAAACATTATGTATGTACGTAAAAATATAAATCTTTTTAAAAATAACAGTTACATACATAATTTCAATACAAGAAATAAAAACAAATTGAATGTTCCTTGTTATCGCCTTAGAAAAGTCAGTACATCTTTCATGGGGAACTGTATACGTTTTTATAATAAACTTCCAGATGACGTTTTACATTTAAATGAAAGAAAATTTAAGACATATATAAAAAGGATTCTCTGTACAAAAGCATATCATAAATTAAATGACTATTTAAATGACAAAAGTGCATGGATTTGAATTTTGTATTAATGTGAATTGTATTGTAAATGTAATTATTGTATTTTTTCTTAAATCAATATTATTTTCTATAGTAATTATTATAATTATAGACTGACGTATCATAAGTATCTGTAACAGATGTATATGAATAAAGATGATTGATTGATTGATTGATTGATTTATATCTAATATATAAAATTCTCGTGTCCCGATGTTTGTTACCAAACTCTTCCGAAACGAATTTACCGATTTTTATGAAATTTTGTGTGCATATCGGGTAGGTCTGAGAATTGGCCAACATCTATTTTTCATACCCCACAATGATAAGGGTGACCCTCCTCTAATATTTTTTTTTTTTGACAAAATTTATTATTTTTATTTTGTTATGATTTAGCATTGAAAAATATATACAAATTAAAATTTTCACGCTTTTACGATCAACCTCTGTTTTTTAATCGCGATTTTTATATGCCACATATAGGTATAGGGTTGCAAGATGGCACTCGAATATAATAATTGTAGTAAGAGAAATTATCATGCATAGCTCTCGAAATAATGTATATGGTAAAACAACGTTTGCCGAGTCAGCTAGTGTATATATATATAGCGTTCATAGGCTGCGGTAACAGCTTACTATCAGGTGGGCCGTATGCTTGTTTGCCTCCTCAGTGGTATAAAAAAAATTTCCATATTAGAAGCGAAACACGTGTGACAAAACGTGCTTGGACGAAATGGCAGTCGGAGATTAATGGCTGATATGAAAGGTTGTAGAACTTTTGGTAATGATAGCAGTCTTTCAGTCAATCTTCGAGTGTTGGCAGTCACACACATAATAATGTTAGCGGAAATAAACAAAATAATTCTAAACAAATAACCAGTTTTAGATTTAAGTTGGCAATCCCTGGATAGAGGCTTCGATGACACTACAAAGTTATGTTGTGACTTCGTACAGGTAAAGACACCATATAAATATGGTGGCAGGGGATTTCCTCAACAGTTTTTACTCGGTTATTCGCGTGTCAACATGAAAGTGTTAGTGGCAGTGTTTGTTCTGGTCGCTGTACTCAGTTTGAGTTATGGGCAACCAGGTATAGTATTGCTGCTCGTGTGACGGTGGCGTCCTCAAGTGTTAATAGTTTTTAGACAGGGAAGACTCACTTTTAGTGAGGCACAGTTCTAATGATCCGAGGATATCCGCCCTGGAGTTAAAGCTGGGACAAAGAAGTTCGCCCAGAAGCCTCACCTAACTCACCCAGGAAGGGGGAATGGATTGTTGGTAATGGGAGGGTTAGTTCCCATTGCTATCAATATACCCAATTAGGTCGACCTCCACGCGGTTCCCCTGGAAACTATTGTGATCAATTTATCATTGAATTCGTCACAATGGGCTAACTGACCTGTCTTTGCATCTTCACCTATCACCGCTCACTGGTACCTCGCCAGTGTATACCGATAGCGCAGACGGGGTTACCAAGCCATTTTTACCCATCAAAAAATCTCACCCAGGAGGGTTTAGAAGACCATGGAGGGATTGTTGAAAAAAGTGTTTTTAGACCGCCTCTATTATACGCACGTAAAGCATTCTGAACAAAACAAAAAACAAGGGAGAGGGGGGGAGGGTGTAGAGAGAAGGGAATACACTCTTTGATTCCTGAGATCCGTGGGAGTCGGACTAATGTTCAGAGGACAGCATGTAGCGGTACAAAGCCACTTAGTTTGATTTGCGGGGCGCTATCTGCACAAGCGAACATTCTGCTCGCCATGATGCGAACTCCCTCAGCTGAAGGGACCTTGAGATTACAGTCGATGACGTCGCTTCAGACGTATCATCCCGCTCCAGTGCATAGGCGAAAGGTGAAGTTCTGCTAGGCTTGGATTCAGCGCCTCAGCGTTTGAGACGTAGGTCTTGTAAATGGAGACCTTCGTTCTTTATAAGATTTTTGCAAGAAAAAGTGACCAATAACCATTTCCAAAGTCATATCTATCGCTATAACAAAATTCATCATAATCTATTCAGCGATTTAGGGGTGAAAGCGAAGTGAGGCGAAACAAACAAACTCACTTTCGCGTAATATTAGTTAGGATAAGCCAATGGACCAATTTTTAACCGACTTTAAAAATGGAGGAGGTTGTATATTTACTTTTTTTTTTAGTGTTTATTTTTTTTTTGTTTCAGATCGATGCAAAGCTCCGATAGACGATCGTGTTTGTTTTGGATTTCGCGGATAGTAAGTATCAAATTGTAAAATTGTATGGCATTATAGGTTTTTTTTTATATAATTTAGAATGGCAAACAAGCTGACGGCCCACCTGATGGAAAGTGGTAACCGTCGCCTATAGACATGAGCAGTACCATGGCCATAACAGAGTATACTGTTTCGCCCATGATACCCCCCATACGTTGTCATTCCTCAGGACTCAGGTGTTATTCCTCTGTACCCTGTAAATTCACGCCATATCCCACCTTTCAAATCGAAACACAGCCATGCAAACACAACTGCTTTACGATTGAAACACGAATGGGACAGAGGTATCCAAGCAAACGACTTTTGTACAAAGTCTCCCTCTGGTAGCTGTATAAAACAAACAAAAACAAATAATTTTGCTACAATTGAAGTTAGTTTTTTTTTTGCATAACAATCTTAAATTATTGTATAAAAGCATACTGTTATATGATTTTTTTACATTTATTTTTATTTATACTGTCACGTGACGACCGTTTATCCTTATTATTCTCCAATGCATTAACTCGTTTACTCTTTCCTTTTGCAGCTATGCCTACGATCTTCCCAATAACAAATGTATAGAATTACGCTTCGGCGGTTGTTACGAAGGACCGAACGAGTTCAAATCTAAGGCAGAATGTGAAAATATCTGTGTCAAAAAATAAGACAAAAAAAGTAACATCTTTTTTTTTGTCTATAGATTTAATTTATTTTTTGAAGTAAGAACTAAAATTTGTGTAACATAATATTCCAGACAAATTATCATATTGAAGACTAGGCAGCATGGTCTCCGACCTTAGCCTGTTCCACAACGGAACAAAAGTACTAGAAAAAAAAATTGTGTAGTATACTGTTTCGCCCATGATACCCCCATGCGTTGCCATTCTAAAGACTCAGATGTTATTCCTCTGTACGCAGTAAATTCACGCATATCCCACCCTTCAAACCGAAACACAGCCATGCAAACACAACTGCTTCACGGTAGAAAGAAACACGAATGGGACAGAGGTACCCAAGCAATCGACTTTTGTACAAAGTCTCCCTCTGGTAAATCATCAAATGGTAAATCCTAATCATCTGGATGATGGGTAGTCCTAAAGGCGTTTTTCAAGGCAGTTTCTTCCACGCAACCACTCTTTGGAATCAACTTCCTGCAGCAGTATTTCCGAACCATTGTCACGAGTGTGAATATTTATTGTTTTGATTTAAATATCAAAACATACGATTCCTGCTTCACAGATTTATCTGAAAAGGATGTGATAGATAAGGTATTATATGATTACACAAAAAATAGGTAAAGGAAATAGATTTTAGAAGTAAGAGGTTACTTGAGATAAGATAAAAACAATCTTGATACAAATATAATAGTTTTTTTTTCTGGTACTTTTAAATCGGCACTTATTTTTTTAATTTTACCGGATTTAGAATCTTCTTTTTTAGAAAAACTGGACATAGAAGTAACTAAACTGCTCGACTACTAACCATATAAGAAGGCTCATCGCCGTGGGTGTTTAAGAAAACAAAATTATATTTGTCTCTGATGTACATACAAATAGAAAGTTTTAGATATTCCGTAATTTAGGTTTTTACAGTAACTGATATAATATTTAGTCATTGTTCAAAATTAACCTTTTTATATATTGACAATTGTAGATTTTTATAAAAAAAATATTTAAAAACAATTGAAATAGAACAAAATCTAATATATAAAATTCTCGTGTCGCGGTGTTTGTTACCAAACTCCTCCGAAACGGCTTTACCGATTTTCATGAAATTTTGTGTGCATTTTGGTTATGCCTGAGAATCGGCCAACATCTATTTTTAATACCCCTCAATGATAAGGGTGACCAACCCCAAAAAATTTTTTTTTATTTTTTTACAAATTTTTTTATTTTTACTTTTATATGATTTAGCATTGAAAAATACATACAACTTTAAATTTTCATCGTTCTACGATCAACCCCTGTATTTTAATCGTGATTTTTATATTTACATATAATACATCAAGTCAACAGACGGCATTTTTACTTACAAATAATATAATATAATTAAACATAATAATATATACATAACAAGAACCAGCATATTTTACAAACAGTCATGTTTACCGCCTGGTATTCAGTAAAGATGACTTTTTATAAAATTAAATGTAAATGTGTAATTCATTTTGTATTGTATGACACTTGTTATATTATTGACATTATTATGTATTTGTTTTTTGTTTTAGTTTGTATTTGTATTTGTTTAGTTATGCTACCGTTAGTATGTGTGCGACTGCCAATATTTATGGATTGACTCCTACTAGGCTATTAATATACGTAAGCCACTAAATTATAATACTAGAGATTACATGCCTTTAGATAAGGCGAAATGTGTAGATCTATTATATTTAAGACCATTATTATAACCACATTTTTAACAAATAAATAAAATAAAAAAATAAATAAAATAAAAAAGTAAATTGTTAGGATTGATTTGGTAAAACTCAAAAGTTATCGAATCATCTTTATTTAAATAGACTTGTTTACAAACACTTCTTCAAATTGTAATTTTTTTCTGAATGCAGGATTTGGAAAGTTGTGATTCTGTTGAGAAGAGTCTCAAAGAAACTCCAATTGTTACTCTTTTAAATCTTTGTTAACATTATTACTTATATATATTTATTTATTTATTCATTAGTACATATATGTGTACATGGCGGACTTAATGCTAAAAGCATTCTCTCTCAGTCAACCATAGTGTCAACCAAGTCATAGGGAAGTTACATATTGTATTTATTTAAATGTATAATTTAACATTACATGGTTCTTCTTCTTATCCTACCACATACTTATGGGAAATGAGTAAGTAAAATGTTTAATTCAATGTTCAAACGTCTATATATTTTAAAAAGAATGACAATTTTCAATTTTACTGCGCGCAACCTCGCATGCGCTGTTATTTATAATTTATTTTTCTACAGAAATTCAAAAGGTATTGGTTTCAATAAGGTTTGTTATATATACAATATATATATATATATATATATATATATATATATATATATATATATATATATATATATATATATAGTATTATTATTATATATTGTATTATTGCAGTGAATTTACAGGGGTACAGAGGAATAACAGTCTAGTCCTCAGGAATACGAAACGGTATACTCTGTTATGTTCATAGTACTGCTCATGTCTATAGGCGACGGTTACTACTTACAAACAGGTGGGCCGCCATTTTAAGTTACATAAAAAAATTTACTGACAAAACTGAAGATTTACCAATGTATGGCTTTACAGTAACATATACATGTATCAGACGATAAAAAAACACATACAAGAGTACGTGACGATGAGTTTTTGTCAGATTTACCGTGACGTATCCATCGTGCAAGATAAATATGTTTGTTTGAGATATATTCTATTCAGATTCGACCCGATCATTTGTGTTACAACATGAAACTCTTTGTGATATTGTTCGTTCTGGTTTCTGTTCTCAATTCGAGTTATGCAGAAGAAGAAGAGAATAGAGGTATGGTAAATATGTTCTACTATAGTCTATTGCAATAGAATTCAATAAAAATATAAACAAATAAATAACATTTATGTTTCTTAGAAAATATAGATAGAGCATCGAGTCTCAAAAATAGGTCAACTTTTTGTCAATTCATTGTCAAATTAGCCGAGTCGTTTTTTTATCAACGTTCTATATACTTACGTATAAAATGTATCTTGACGTATTATTTAATAAATAAAATGAGTGTTTACACATTAAAAAGATGCGGAAATTATAAGACAAAGTGAATATAGAAGTTATAAAGCAATCACTCATAACTATTTATCACGTAAAATTGTATGAAAAAGTTGACCGGTTTTTTGTCTGTGTTCTATATACTTACGCACATAATGTATGTGTACGTATTTATATTCAATTATTTAATAAATAAATAGAGTATTAACGAATTAAAAAGACGTAAAGTTATAAAACAAAATAAATCTTGAAGTTATAAAGGAAACACTCATGACTATTTATCATGTAAACTTGTATGAAAAAGTTGATACGTTTTTCTCGAAGCATTTGTATGGAGACACTCTATCTATATAATCTATGATCATAGCCAGTGCTGATTTTCAATAGACGCAAATAGGTGCAAAAAAAGACGATTCAATGGAATGAATGTTTGGATACATACACTAACTAGTGATCCGTCCTGGCTTCACACGTGTAGATGCCATATTTATTATAGGATAGACTTTTACCAGAGGGAGACTTTGTACAAAAGTCGTTTGGGTGGGTACCTCTGCCCCATTCGTGTTTACCGTGAAGCTGTTGAAATTTACATGGCTATGGCATGGGTGGGATATGACAGTGAATTTACAGGTTACAGAGGAATAACACTTTAGTCCTCAGGAATGGCAACGCATGGGGGGTATCATGGGCGAAACAGTATACTTTGTTATGTCCATAGTACTTCTCATGTCTATAGGCGACGGTTACCACTTTCCATCAGGGGGCCGTCAGTTTGTTTGTCATTCTAAGTTGTATAAAAAAAATGTCCAGTAATGAGTCGTAATTGATGTTTTACTGTTTTTTTTTTTTTATAGATCCCTGCAAATTTCCAATAGAAAGTGGCATGTGCTTTGGATATACAGAAGTGTGAGTATAATTATTTATTAGTTATTAGCTATACGAGTATACTGCGGTTTTGCCCGTGGAAATTACTATACAAAGTCGTAAGGCAGTTAAGTTAGTTAATTTAATTCAAAGTTCAAGTATAAAGGAGGACAAGAAGAATCAATCCTTTGTTAGCAAAATAAATGCATAAAAAATAAATAAATACATTAATTTGAACAATTAGTTATCAATGTGTGAATGAGCACCGTCACCCAAGCTTAACTACGATCGGCAGCCCACCTGCCAAGCGTGGCATTACTGGAAACCCTCCAAGGGAGAGAGGTTTTCCCAAGAGACAGCATGGGGTTCTTTCAAAAGAGGGCAAAAGAGGTTTATTCAGGGTCGGCAACGCACGCGTAATACCTCTGGTATTGCAGGTGTTCATAGGCTACGGTAACCACTTACCATCAGGTGGGACGTATGCTTGTTTGCCACCTCAGTGGTATAAAAAAAAGGCCTATGTCTAGCAATGGACAGTTAACAATATGGTAAGTATATAGTAACAAATATACAAACAATCAAACAGCTTAACATTTTTTTTATATTTGCTGGGAGAGAATGCTATATATAGTATTAAGTCCGCCTTTTGTACCAGACATTTTTTTTGTAATGTGGTCAGTAAAGAATAAATAAAAAAAAAAAAAGTATTTGTTATATTGACGTGTAAGTCCCGCCATAGAATGGACCACCCCTTCCTTTCCCATGGGTGTCGTAAGAGGCGACTATGGGAATTTAATGGTCGAGGGATGAGCAGCAGCGTCCCTCTTAAAACATCTCCAAAGCCTAACTGCGGTTGCCAACCCGCCTGCCAAGAGTGGTAAGTTCTGGCAAAATCCTCCAAGGGAGAGGTCTATGTCCAAAAGTGGACAGTTAAAGGCTGATATAAATTAATAAGTTAGTAAAATTGTTAGTTCCATATTACAGAGTGCTCATGTTTTTTTTTTTGTTTCAGCTACGGTTACAATGTTACAAACAATGAATGTAGATTGTTTGTCTATGGCGGTTGTATGGGGAACGAGAATAGATTTAACACTAAGGAGGAATGTGAGAAAACATGTTTGAATAATGAATAAACGATAATCAATTATTTAATCTTTTATTTACTTTTTTTTTTATACAACTTAGAATGGCAAACAAGCTGACGGCCCACCTGATGGAAAGTGGTAACCGTCGCCTATAGACATGAGCAGTACCATGGACATAACAGAGTATACTGTTTCACCATGATACCCCCCATGCGTTGCCATTCACGAGGACTCAGGTGTTATTCACTGTACCCAGTAAATTCACGCCATATCCCACCCTTCAAACCGAAACACAGCCATGCAAACACAACTGCTTCACGGTTGAAACACGAATGGGACAGAGGTATCCAACAATCGACTTTTGTACAAAGTCTCCCTCCTGGTCTTTTTTCTTTGTAAAATTTAACCCCATAATTACATTTCTGTTTTGCCAAAGGTTGATTGCGAGAGAATGCTATATAGTATTAAGTCCGCCTTTTGTACTAGATATTTCTTTTTCTTTATTGTGATCAATTAAGAATAAATAAATAAGTATAAATAAAATAAAAGGGCTGGCAACGCGCACGTGACACCATTAGTGTTGCAGCGTTTACTGTCAAACGGGCTGTATAGTATGGAAAGTGGTAACCGTCGCCTATAGACATGAGCAGTACCGTGGATATAACAGAGCACACTGTTTCGCCCATGATACCCCCCATGCGTTGCCATTCCTGAGGACTCAGGTGTTATGCCTCTGTACCCTGTAAATTCACTGCCATATCCCAGCCTTCAAACCGAAACACAGCCATGCAAACACAACTGCTATACAGTAGAAACACGAATGGGACAGAGGTTCCAAGAAAATTACTTTTGTACAGTCCCTCTCTATATATATATATATATATATATATATATATATATATATATATATATATATATATATATATATATATATATATATATATATGCTTTTTATGGAGAGAGAAATAGTCGCCAAAACAATATTGTTATTTATTACACAAATACATACATATCTGTCACGCCTGTCTCCCATTAGGGTAGGCAGAAACAATGGAACGCCAAATGCATCGATTCTAACATATACCTCTTTCGCTTCCTCCACATTCATCAATCTTTTCATACACGCTCGCCGGTTACGGGTACTTTTAATTTGGCCCTTCTTCAGCACGTCGCCTATTTGGTCGACATACGTCCGTCTAGGGCGGCCCCTACCGACATCTCCATTCATTTTTGCTCGATAAATCTCTTTCGTAGTTCTTCTTTCATCCATCCTCTCCAAATGACCAAACCAACGCAACATTCCTTTTTCGATTTTTGTCACTATTATTTATTTTTATAATACTATTATTTATAATATAATACTGTTATTTATTATAATAATAAATTAATAATATAATATAATAAATTATAAACATCACAATCTTGCAAAAACAAGCAGCCATTCACACATCAACCATACTCAGCAAAGTATTGGGAGATACCGTATTTGTACAAAATACATAAAATCATCACACTCAAGACACACACCGGTCACCAACCATCCAACAGGCAACTAACACACAACACTCAACGAACACACCAGATTCATCCAACACAATTCATACATCAAACACACAATCACTCACAAATTCAGTATACACTCTAAAGAGAAGGCGAGGTAGAAGACGGACATAAAAATAAAACTGGGGCATACGTACCTTTTTTCCTGTGGGTTACAGGACGGGGTATGTTTTTAAGCCGACATAAGTAGAGAAGGTGAAAACCAATAAGTATAATAATATTATTTTCTTTAGAATTTTTGTTTGTCTGTCTATATGTATGTTTGCAGTTTTCACAATTGTATTCCTGAAAGTATAACTTAAAGACTGGTTGTTCGTTTTACCTTGATACGCAACCTAGAAGAGTTTTTTTATACATTTTTCTTACTGGAAAAATATACTTGTCCAATTCCAAAATCTACGCGCGCGATGTCGCGGGTAAAAACTAGTGAAGACTATAAATATAATAATCTCTGAACTGTGACACGAGACCAATAAATAAGTAGAATATGAACCTGCCGATAACCTTGCATTCAACGTAATTTTGATATTGAACATGGACGGCGGGGAAAACCTATTCAAGGTTTAAAATTTGATTTTTAAATTAAATAGTGTTACACAAAAAATAACTAAGGTTCAGTTCTAAAAAAACCAGTTTAAAAAAAAAAACAGTGATTTTGATTTTAAAACAAAGATTTAGAGGGAGACTTTGTACAACAGTCGATTCCTTGGGTACCTCTGTCCCATTCGTGTTTCTACCGTGAAGCAGTTGTGTTTGCATGGCTGTGTTTCGGTTTGAAGGGTGGGATATGGCGTGAATTTACTGGGTACAGAGGAATAACATGCGTTATCCCCATGCGTTGCCATTCCTGAGCCCTCAGGAATGGCAACGCATGGGGGATATCATGGGCGAAACAGTAGACTCTGTTATGTCCATGGTACTGCTCATGTCTATAGGCGACGGTTACCACTTTCCATCAGGTGGGCCGTCAGCTTGTTTGCCATACTAAGTAGTATAAAAAAATACATTTCTCATTACTTTTACAGTAAATAAATAAATGAATAATGCATTTTGATATTGTAATTATCCGCGTGTTACAAGACATAAATCAGAGAGCGAATTCAGTAATATTCGATTTCATTTACCAAGTCATCAAAACCACGTGTGCCTAACATCAAACATCAGGGGGGAAATCAGAAAGCAATGGAGTTTGACAGCCCCATTGCTAGCAATATACCTTATTAGGTCGACCTCCACGTGGGTCCCCCTGGAAACCATCGTGAATAATTCTTGTTGAATTCGTTACGATGCGCTAACTGACCTGCTTCATCCTCACCTATCATCCTTCACTGGTGCCCCGCCGGTGTATACCGATAGCGCGGGCGGGGTTACCATTCCATTATCATCAATTAAAACATCAAACATCATTTACGTGCACAATGATTATTATGATGATCAATCAACACAATATTATTATAATATAGGAATAAAAACTTATATGTAGGAAAAAAGCAATTATGAAACATTTTTCCTGATTATTCAATATGTGATGGTCATTTAACTGAAGTCGTGACTATAACTAATGATTATAAGATGACGTACAAACAATTGGAGGGGAGTGCTCTGAGGAATTGTTCGGATTGATACCTGCTGCTGATTTTCACCACCGTACAACCCGCCACAAACTAAAGTTTCATCCCAACCATCTGGACGAGCGGCGGTCCTCCACCGTGCGTTTTTCAAGGCACTTTCTTCCACGCACAACCACTCTTTGGAATCAACTTCCAGCAGCAGTATTTCCGAATCAATACGATATCGTAACCTTCAAGAAAAGAGCATATTCCTTTTTAAAAGGCCGGCAGCATACCTGCAATGCCGTTGGTGTTGCAGGTTGTTGGGCGGCGGTAGTCACTTACCATCAGGTGAGATACGTGTGCGTTTGCCTCCTATGTTATAAAAAAAAAAACTCATAAAGTCTTAACGGCTCAATATGAAATTCTGAAAAAAAAAATATAAAAATTAAATTATTAATATTTAAAAGTGTTTGTAAACAAGTATATTTGAATACAGATGATTTGAATTTGAATTATTAATAATAATAATAAAATATAAGATTTTTCTGTCGGTATAAAATAAAATGATGTAAATTCTATCAGATTGTAGCCGCGTGGTCCATTTTTTCGTGGATATCGTAAGAAGCGACTAAGGGACCTTTTTTATGCAGCTTAAAATGGCAAACAAGCTGACGACCCACCTGATGGAAAGCGGTAACCGTCGCCTATAGCCATGAGCAGTACCATGGACATAACAGAGTATACTGTTTCGCCCACGATACCCCCCATGCGTTGCCATTCATAAGGACTCAAGTGTTATTCCTCTGTACCCTGCAAATTCACTACCATATCCCATCCTTCAAACCGAAACACAGCCATGCAAACATAACGGTAAAAACACGAATAGGACAGAGGTGCCCCAAGCAAACGAATTTTGTACAAATTCTTCCAGTCAGAGGGTGAGTCCAGCAATCACAAATGAACACAATTTTATTAATTAAATCGTTTAAATTCTATTTTGAATTAAGCAATATTTATTTACACAAACAAACAGGATAATAAAATTACATTACTCAATATATATATATATATATATATATATATATATATATATATATATATATATATATATATATATGTGACACACTTACAAGCTATATAAACATGTTTTTTAATATGAAGGCCTTCAGTTCTTTCGATAGCGCACTGCCAGTCACAATGTCCAGATTATTTATATTCGTATTTATTGCATTTTGTGTTAATAATATTTTCACTTTAGGTAAGTATATATTTATTTTATTTTATTCATTTACACTTTATTGCACCAAGTAAAAAGAGATATAGCAAATACAGTAAATATTAATGAGAAGTGATACAAAAGGCGGACTTATCGCTGAGCAATCTCTTCCAGACAACCTTTGGGTAGAGGACATTGAGAAAAAGACAAAGGGTAGATGAACTATTATATAAATATTATCGTATACAAACATATATACATAGGGGGGAAAGGGATTGTTAGTAATGGAGACTGAGAATCTCATTGCTAGCAATATACCCAACCAGGTCGACCTCCTCGCGGTTCCCCCTGGAAACTATCATGGTTAATTACTGATGAATTCACCATGATGGGCTAACTGGCCTGTTTTCATTCTCATCGGTCACCCTTCACTGGTGCCCCGCTAGCGTATCCCGTTAGCGCAGGCGGGGTTACCATACCATTTTCACCCATAAAAAAAAACATACATACATACACATACATATATAATATATACACAATTAAATATATACATAACATACACATACTTAACAGCACACATACAACAAAAAAAAATGACGAAGGAAAACGAAGAGAGAATACACGAAAATAGTACTAAAGTGAGAGGTAGTAGGATTTAACAGAGGTTTTGAAGCTAGTAAGAGTTCGAGCGCACCGAATATAATATTCTTAGATTATATAAAGAGAGTCCATCAACGTTTAGAAATCCTTGGAACGGTGAGGTCGCTCCGTAGGGCCTGTGAAGAACCCAGGAAGCTTCTGCGCTTCTGGGCGGAGCTAGGTTGGCTGCACTAGCCACGACTCATACGCACAATTGCCCAAATGAGAGGCTAAGCGCGGAAAATAGAGTCTTTTTCACATTCACATTCACATAAAGAGAGCATCGATCCTCAAAAAAGGGTCCACTTTCTATCAGCTAATTGTCAAATTAACTGACACGTTTTTTTTAATCAGTGTTCTATATACTTACGCATACAATGTATCTTGATGTATTATTTAATAAATTAAATGAGTGTTTACACATTCAAAAGATGCAGAAGTTGTAAGACAAAATTTTATTTAACTGTATATTTGTTTATGTACACTAAATATTAATAGTTGTAGCAATTCAGCTGCCCGCTAACAGCATGCTTTCTAACTGCATTGGGTTGACTGGAAGAGATCTCTGTCAGAGATAAGTCCACCCTTGTTCACAATATTTATAAATGCATTAACAATGTAATTTACAAGTGCAATAAAGAATATAATAAATATAGAAGTTATAAAGGAAACACTCGTAACTATTTATCACGCAAAATTGTAAAAAAAGTTGCGTGTCAACTTTTGCGTGTATTTTAAATCACAATAAAATAGAAATAAAATTTTTGTTAAAAATATGAAAAAAAAAATTTAGGGGTAGGTCACCCTCATCATTGTGGGGTATGAAAAATAGATGTTGGCCGATTCTCAGACCTACCCGATATGCACATAAAATATCATAAAAATCGGTAAAGTCATGTCGGAGGAGTTTGGTAACAAACACCGCGACACGAGAATTTTATATATAAGATATTGCAAGTGACTATACTTATTTTGTTATTCCTGTCTCGTTCCAGATCCCAAATGTACGTTGCCATTGGAAACAGGAATTTGCAGAGCTGAATTACACAGGTAAGTAATTTACATTCATACAGATTATCGAATGTTCTAAAATATTAACTTTATATTTATAAACATTTATAGCGTAATTACATGAAAAATTTTTAATTTTGTGGTTTATTTTCCGGATTTGTGTTATATTCCGTCATAGCACACGTAAATGTAACAATCTACATTCATTTAAAACTAATCCCACTTTAAAATGTAAAAATAATTAGAAATTTTATTATAAATCATATTTTGCATACTCCCGCCAAATCAGCTTCGAGCATATATTGTGTATTTTAATGTTCTACTGTCTATCTCGCTCTAACATGTATGTTATTATATTTTCTTTCTTTTTTTATATACCACTAAGGTGGAATTTTACATTGCTAATCTATACACTTTATAATGTAAGATTATAATAAATCTTTTATTTTCCAGATTCGGTTACGATACTAAACTGAAGGAATGTACGCAATTCGTGTACGGCGGTTGCCATGGCAACGAAAACAATTTCAAATCTTTGGAGGATTGTCGAGCGGCCTGCAAGTAGAATATACAAACCATATTGAACTCTATTCTTAAAGAAATAAGTATCAAACTACCACACAGACTTTAACATGTCACTGCGAATCGTACAACTGCTTCTACAGAAACTTAGATAAAGAAATTAATGACTGACCCGAAGATAAAACAATTCGCTGGTGTCCAATAGCGGTGCAAATAAAAAATCGATCGATTCATTGAAGATTCCAATTGTTTGTTACCAATTTTTTTTAGAGGTATTTCTGTGATAAGTTCTATTGAAACAGAGTAGACTATATTTTCGTATAACCCGCCCATGTAAATGTGCCAGTTCGTTAATATTACGTTCCCAGCGTGTGAGGCCTATTTAACTCGGCGGGTTATACTAAGTGGTTCGTATTATGATTTATGTTAATATGTTATTTTAAATACTGAACAAGTCTGTTTAAAAATATTTTAAAAATACATTTTTATAGTCTTTAAATTTCATCATCAGAATTCAGGCATTATACATCAGTATAGTGCAACATATTTTTTTTTTAATTAAATAACTTTATTGAACAAAATAAAGTATGGTACAAAAGGCGGACTAAATGCTAGTAGCATTCTCTACCAGTCAACTTTAGGGGGTGAACAGTGAATCACCTATGTGGTACTTCATTATTGAGATAGATAAAGAAAAAAACAATTATTAATGCATATCTAAGAAATAAATATTACACATATAAATAATATATATTTTTTTTATTTTTATACAACTTAGAATGGCAAACAAGTTGACGGACGGTCCACCTGATGGAAAGTGGTAACCGTCGCCTATAGACATGAGCAGTACCATGGACATAACATAGTATACTGTTTCGCCCATGATACCCCCATGCGTTGCCATTCCTGAGGACTCAGGTGTTATTCCTCTGTACCCAGTAAATTCACGCCATATCCCACCCTTCAAACCGAAACACAGCCATGCAAACACAACTGCTTCACGGTTGAAACACGAATGGGACAGAGGTACCCAAGCAATCGACTTTTGTACAAAGTCTCCCTCTGGTATGTTATTTATGTTTATATTTCTTTATATCAGAGGCCATCTTTTTAATTACTATTAATGTAAATGTTACGTTGGCAATAATAAATGTAAAGTTTTTTTTTTAATTCATAATGTATGTAACTTTTTGTTGTTGTCAATAAATGTTTTCTTTCTTTTTCTTTCTTTCTAAATATAATGTTAAATAATTCTTTAAAGTTATAACAATAAAAAAATAAACAGTTTTAGTTTGGTTACTTTTATTTCATTAGAATCACAGTAACACGGCTTGATTTGCAGGTTTACTCTTCGATTTAATATCGATATTAATTCAATCTAATGACATATATTTATATATATATATATATATATATATATATATATATATATATATATATATATATATATATATATATATATATATATATATATATATATTAAGCTATTAAGTCGCTAGCATTGTAATACGAGTGTGCGAAACATTTTAATGGCCCATCGTCATGTGATGAATTTACCAATAACTAATGACGACGGTTTCCAGAATGAACCACGTGGAGGTCAACCTGACATGATACGTTGCTAGCAATGGGGCCGCTAGTCCCCGGTACAAACAATCCCATTACCCCTCTTACCACAAGTCTACACTACTATTGTAAACTAGAAGGATTTGACTGTTTGTTTGTTAAGGTAAATTTATAACTACACAACCGATTTCAAAAATAAAATATCAATTAATAATACGTGCTATATTATTTCTATCTACCCGTGCGAAGCCGGGGTGGATCACTAGTTATAAATAATTATAAGACAAGTCTATATTATCTTTATTAATATCAATTCCACGTGCTTATAAAGGAATGGAGTGGATTTCGTGTTGGCCCAATCTTGGAACGAATGTTTGACCAGACATGCAAACGTTGGCAGTCTAATATAATATTTTCATTCTGTATTCAGTCTTGACTGGTGCTGCTGTGACAACTGTCACAGGCATGATGAGCTCAACTGGGCTGCGAGGTATTTTACACTTCACGATTTGAACAAAAAATTTTATTAAAAAATAAGTAAAGAATATATATAAGGGGTTCCCAAACTTATTGTGTCTACTGCCCACTTTGAGAATAAATTATTTTTTAGCGCCCCCATTTTTATACCTACTTAAAACCACTATTACTTCAAGATCAACAAATCACCCCCAAGCCTCAACACAACACCACCGATTTTCTTTCTGGATCTCTTACCGTCCCCTTTTATACCTACAGCGCCCACAATGGGGCGTTATCGCCCACTTTGGGAAAGACTGATATAGATAGAGTATCAAGTTTGTAAAATGGGTCAACTTTTTGTCAGCCAAAAGTCAAATTAGCTGACTCGTTTTTTTTTATCACTATTCTATATTTACGCATAAAATGTATCTTGACGTATTATTTAATCAATAAAATTAGTGTTCACGCCTTAAAAAGACGCAGAAATTGTAAAACAAAATGACTATAGAAGTTGTAAAGGAATCATAACTATTTATCAAGCAAAATTGTATGAAAAAGTCGACTCGTTTTCCTCGAAGTATTTGAATGGAGACACTCTATCTATGATAATCTAGAGAATAATATGTGATCCGCCATTTTCTGACGGCGGCCATCTTAAATTTACAATCTTAGTGAATGCAAATGTAATGTTGTCAGAATAAAAGGTGTACACCAAATATCAGATCAATCAGTCAATAGGTAGAAGTTAATTCTAGGATTATAAATCACTAGATTAATTAATCACTGACTGATTTTCATCCATCCCCGTCTGTCACCCCTCACTGGTACCCCGCCAGCGTATCGGTGATACCATTTCATTTTTGTCCCATTAAAAAAAGAATATGTTTTTGTTGTTCTAATCGCCTTTTTACGGACCAAAATGCCATTTATTATTTTCCTTGTGCATTAGTGTCAGAATTGAAGCATATTCCTAAAAACATTGTTCTGCAACATTGCTATTTCATACGATCAGGCGCTTTACATAGTAGAGACGATCGACCGTGAGAGTCTCTGATGTCCACTAATTCGTAACCATGGGTTTCAGAAGTAGAAAAAATAATGAAATAGGCCACTTTTAGATATTATAGGCTTATTAAGATAAAACAGATACCAGATTTTAAGATAGATCTTCAGGAACGTAACTGTAAAAATCACATACAATTTCGTGCAACAGCTTTTACGTCAGAAAATTAACGAACAGACGCAATTTCTACAAATTAATGTTTTCGTTTCTCTTTGATCGCTGGTATATGCGATATGGAACAGTTTATGAAATAAGTCCGATATTAAGAGATTTATTTTATTATCATAATATACAAAGAAGAAGACATGTTGGTGTTGTATTACAGTACAGATTCTCAATGCCAATGCTAGTGTTGCCAATATGTGTAACATAGATAATAAATGACATATGAAACAGTTTCTATTTCTCAATTTTTCTCAATTTCCCTTATACAAACATTGTCCACTTACAATTATATTATATATTTACTCGTGGCGGATACAACCCGCGACTTTATATTAATTGACCAGAATCCTTCTCCATCCCATATAGTGGAAAAAGTGGTAGTTTGAAACCAAATTTCATATTGATTGGTTAAGCTGTTAAGGCGCTATGAGTAATCAAACAAACAAACTCCCTTTCACATTACAATAGCGTTTTGTTTTAATACTAATTTTAATATACATTAATATACATTTTTATATATACCAGAGGGAGACTTTGTACAAAAGTCGATTGCATGGGTACCTCTGTCCTAAAGTGTTTCTACCGTGAAGCAGTTGTGTTTGCATGCTGTGGTTGAAGGGCGGGATATGGCGTGAAATTACATGGTACAGAGGAATAACACCTGCGTCCTCAGGAATGGCAACGCCAGGGGGTATCATGGGCGAAACAGTATACTCTGTTATGTCCATGGCACTGCTCATGTCTATAGGCGACGGTTACCACTTTCCATCAGGTGGGTCGTCAGCTTGTTTGCCATTCTAAGTTGTTTAAATTAAAATTAAATCAATTAAAATTAGAGAATCGTGTCTTTATCGTATCGTGGCATATAAATACAGAACGAGGCGTCCTCTAAACTGAGTTTGGCGTTAAAATGATTTAGATGTATAGTATTCTTTGGAATTTATGAATGCTCTCCCAAAAATAAGTTTCCAACGTAACCTGACCTCTCTTTAAGTGCTTATTATACGACGTGGAGGATCGTAAATTTTGGACAATGCTTTTATGCATTTAAATCGTTTACGGAGGTCGTTACGGTGTGTAGATGCATTTTAGTGGTTTATTTTTAATATATTCGGTATATTTTAGTGACAATTAGTGAGTGAGATTTGAGATTTTAGAAGTAATTATCGTAACACGCGAGGGTTGCGTTTTTAGCGGTCTATTTGATGTTTTTTTTTTTGTTTTCTGTATCGTATCGTATGTCGTTTTTAATTGAATTAAAAGCAGGGGGTTTACCATGAAATGAGATTACGAAATTCCGTATTCAATTTCGTGTCTTTATTTATACCAAAATCGATTTAGTAAAGGGAGCTTATAGATATTTGGTTAGTCATAAATCCTACTAAAATATCGTTCCTTTTGACTTTTATTAAAGGAACGATATTTTAATATTTTTAATATTGTTAAATAGCATGTGTTATGTAATTTTAACATTAAATTTGTTTTCCGTTCGGTTCCGAAATTACGGAAAACATTTCATGGCAGGCCCTCTGGAAATTTACGAGATGCGACGTCAAAAAAACAAAACAAATAACCAAGCATTAAATAGTAAACTGAATAAATGAAAAAAAAAACAAATATACTTATATATAGAGGATATTTTTGACTCTTTGTTAGTAATGGACAAATAATTAGTTAAACCAGGTGTTACCTCGCGGAAGTCCATATCACTGGTTATTTGTTTAGAATTATTTTGTTTAATTTCGCTACCATTAGTATGTGTGTGACTGCCAACACTCGAAGATTGACTACTATTATTTTCAGAAGAAGTTCTAAAACTTATTATTACTTACTAATCTCCGACCGTTATCTAGTCCACGCACAAATTTCTTTCCAAGTGACTTCAAAAAGGAGATTCTCAATTCGGTTGTATCTATATAATTTTTATATTTGTTATCTCACAACTCCGTCAGTTGTATACCGATTTGGAAAATTTCTTTTATTTGATGAATATACAACTTAGAATGGCAAACAAGCTGACGACCCACCTGATGGAAAGTGGTAACCGTCGCCTATAGACATGAGCAGTACCATGGACATAACAGAGTATACTGTTTCGCCCATGATACCCACCATGCGTTGCTATTCCTGAGGACTCAGGTGTTATTCCTCTGTACCCTGTAAATTCACTGTCATATCCCACCAAAATTTTATCAAAATCAATTAAGTAATTTAGTTATGATCAAAATAAATGTTTTTTTTTTTATGTGGAACACAATTTTAATTTATAAATTTACTAGCTGACTCGGTAAACGTTGTTTTACCATATACATTATTTCTAGAACTATACATGAAAATATATCGTACTACAATTATTATATTCGATTGTCATCTTGCAACCCTATTGTAGCTATTAAACAACAGGGGTTGATTGTAAAAGCGTGAAAATTTGTATTTGTATGTATTTTTCAATGCTAAATCGTAATAAAATAAAAATAAAAAAAAATTGACAAAAAA